AATACGCCTGCCGCGTCTTGGATGATGACAATGCGTCTCAGGAACTTGGATGCTGGGACGTGCCATCTGATGCTGGCCTGGCTGCTCGGTTGGAGGACGAGAAAGCCTGCGCCTGGGTGTTTCTGTCCTTGGTGACACATAGCAGGTGCACTTCAGAGGAGAAAGACAGCAAGAGGCGACCCGCTTTCTCGTCCTCCAAGCACATGAGCCACAACATCTGCGCGCGCAGCCCCAGCATCCAAGTTCCTGAGATGCAGTGCAATGATCCAAGACGCGGCAGGCGTTTTTGCCATCTGCCCACAAGTCCTGTCATCATCCAAGACGCGGCGGGCGTACTTGCCATCTGCCCACAAGTCTGAATCTGAAGTGCACCTGCTTGACAAGCGCAGGCAACTATGTGTCATCAAGGACAGAAAACACACAGACCAGCAGGCCTTGTCCTCCAACCACATGAGCCACGACATCTGATACAGCCCGGCCCAGTTTCAGATCCAAGTCTGAGTGCGCATGAGTCAGGAAGCTGAAGTAGCCAGATCGCGCCCTAGCTTCTTCGAATTCCACAGAATCTTGTAGATATCTCTGATGGCTGACTCTCGCTACAGCCTGCTCCCATGTGTTTGGTAGCAGTGATTTGATATGTGTGGAAGTACCGTAAGGGCGTGGGCTCGAACCCCACAGCTGTCATGCCTTGCTTAGGAATATTTTCGAAACTCACATCATCGATGCCACTTGCGCCAGCGTGCTGTCAGCCATTCTCATTAACGTTGCCATTGCAAATAGCGCCACAAAAAATCTTTCATTGCCACGGACACTACGATAACCATTGTCACCAACCACTTACCAGAGCCACCACAACTGCAAGCGCCTCGCAACAGCAAACCACGCGTCGCGACAGCACGCTTGCAGCATCCTGCGCACCTCAAGGGAGCACAAGCAGTGAGCTGCCCAGGACTTGAACCTGGAGTCTCCGGCTCCGGAGGCCGACGCCTACTCCACCTCAACATGGATTAAAAATACTCGAGGTGGGACTCAAGCCCACAACCTCCTTGGGAGGGAGGCGCCTTATCCATTGGGCCACACGAGCTACGATGCACTGGCTCTAAGGCTTGCCATCATGCACACCACGTGGCCAACTGCAGACTTGGATGCATACAACTCATCCCCAGCACTGCTCAAATTAACTGCAAATGTCTAACCTGAGTTCGATATGAGAAGCAAGAGACAAGGAAAGCTATTCGGCAGCTTTTGAACGACCTCGAGCTTGGAAGTTTGGAGAGTTTCCCAATTTCGAGTGGAAGTGGCAGCGCTGCAGATGACACAGCAGAACCCGAGCGAGAGTGTGTTTGAACGTGCGTGGTACGACATCTGGACAACGATTGGATTCATGTGAGAAGAGTGGCTACAGAATGATTGGACAAGATCCATAGGAATCCTAACCTTTAGCTGTACAGTCGATACAGTGGATTGTGCATTTGATTGGAAAATGGTAAATCTCGAATCTCGCCTCACGGCTTTAGGCGCGGTGTTGGACTTTGCTAGATGTAGAGGAGCATTCAGCTGCACTTTCGGCACGTGCTTTATCCAAAGTATGCCTTTCAATCACCGAGCGCGGAGTGAGCGGGAAGTGTCGCCCGCTGTGGGCCAAGTCAAAGTGTGTGCGACACCGACACCTGCATATTTTTAACGTTTAACACACTGCAGTATTCGGTGCTTGCTTTAGGTGTGTTGCCAGCGAAAGAATCATATGACAGAAAGGGGGGTTGTTTGCTGAGAGCTCGCCACTCAGTTCACATTGGCCACTCAGTTCACATTCCATGCTGAAGCGGCGTGTTTGAGGGATGTGGGGAGGTGACGTAAAGTTTGGGGTTTGTGGGTTTAGGGCGGCTTTGTGGCGCCCCCAACAAACGTTGCCACCGGGCCCTAAAGAATGAGATGGCCGCCGGCCCAGAAAACAATTGCCTGGCCCAACCAACCGCAGTTGCAGGTTTGGAGCAGGTGGGCGATTGCGCAGGGATGCCCAAAGAAACAAATGAAAAACACGCACCCTGGCAGACATTGTGCATCTGAGGTGGCTTGGAACAACGGTGCCAGGTCTTCTATTCTTTGCCTGTTGTGGAAACTCGACGCTTGGTGCAGTGTAACGGGGTTGGGGCTGCCGTTGCAAGGGCCTCGTTGAATGTGTTGCCACGCGCCAACAGGAGGCGGGACACAGCTTCTACTTGGGCCTTGACATAAAGCCGATCGGTGCCAAGGAAAGCGTTTCCGCGCAGCTTCTTTTGATTGCGTGGTCTTCAACTTCCCTTTAGTAGGTCGAAGCAGCTTGGCTGAACGATGAGTTTGGGCGAGGTGACTTCCCAACAGAGTATTTTTTTGGGTGACGGCGGCGATCACACCCTGGGCGGCGTCGACGAAACGGATCCCAAGTAGAGGTCCAGCTCCGCCAGACCACCCGGTGATGATGCGCCAGATGTATGAGGCACCACGAATGCAATGTTTAAATCATTGTATCGCTCATGGCATGCCTCAAACATTGCAGGATTTAAGGTTTTTGCTTGCCGAGTTCTTCACCGCGTCCGCTTTCCTCCTACGAGCAGGCTTTGCGTTGGGTGCTTTTTGCTGGTGCATTGGTTATGTTGGTTTTGCAACGCGGATCGCCTAGCAAGGCGGGGAAGTGCACCTGCGCTTAACAGACCAGCATTGCATCCCGGCTGGGTTGGTTGTGGAACGTTTTTGCAGAAAGAGAGGTGAAGGTGTGGGTCTAGACCTTGGTTATGCGAGGCACTGCGCTGTCGCGCTTGCCTTGGAATTGGCCGCAGTTGGGTTTTGAAAAACGGTTGGACTTTCAAGAGGCCAGCGTTTTGCCTTTGCACGGCGAATCGGCCCCGTATGTTTAAACATGCTTGCCGCTTCGGTGTCAGGCCTACGAGAAGGTCTACCGCCCTTTAGGGTATCGCCCTGGGGTGGTTTTGAAGCGCGCACCCTTTTCGGTGGCCTTCGCCAGCACGTGGGTCTTTCGGAGGTGCTGAACTGCCATGTGGTGTGCTTTGGATTGTGGTGTTGGCTGTGGTGTTCGCATTATAGGACTTTCTGGGCAAAGCATGCATGTGGCACATGTGAACTTGTTCGCAAACCCTTACACCTTCCAGGCGGTGAATCGCGGAGTCATTGATCCGGAAGGGCCTCGTTCCCCTTCCACCACTCGCGACCTTGTTTGCATGGATCACGTCCATGGTTGAACGCTGCAAGTTTGGCGACTCTACCAGTAAGATGTGTTTGTTTTTTTCCCTTTTTCATCGCTGAAATGTGCAGTGGTTGGAGCAAGGTTCACAGGGCAGAAACAGTGCTCTGTTATAGCCATGCAGCAAGTGCGTAGCTGAGATGGTGGGATGGTCATTGTGTGTCTTCTTGGATGTTGATGTTTAAATGATATATTTCTTCGATCTTGATGCTTCCGGTGCGGCCCAGCATGTGGTGGAAGCTGACATGGATGCCGACATGGAGGGCGTGCTGTGACAGTCTTTTTGTCATGCTATTTGGAGGCACGGGTGTTCACGTGAAATGCAAAGAGTGTGTAAAGAGCCCTTAGTAGCGTCCTTGTTCCTAGAAGCGAGGCCCTTTACTCCTAGTAGCGTCCTTACTCCTAGTGATGCCAGGAGCCCTGTTCGTAGCGTCCTTGCTCCTACCAGTTGGTCTGACAGTCAGCGCAGGTCGGCGAAGGCAAATGCGTCCACGAGAAAGATGCACACACCTGAGAGTCGGTGTTGAAGGCTGGTAGCATTGCAGGGCATGTCTTTGTCAGAATGAGCTTGAGTGGACTTTCGATTCGTTGACAAAATATTTTTTTCTTCTGTTTGCATCCGTTTCCAGGAGATGCCACACAGCGCCCCGAAACTTTAAAGAAATGCTCGCCGGCTCGCCCTTTGAAAAGGATGCGCTGCTGGGAGGGCTTTGCGGGACAATTCTTTTTGGTAAACAATCCGTTTAGCGCAGGGTAAAGAGCAAAGGGCACAGGAAAGGGAAAGGTCGTGAACAGTGGAAACACCTCGTGCTGCCAACTTTTGCTATTTGGATGCAGTTAAGATCAATATTGAATCGCTCAGGACAATTCAAGTTCAAACGCTTGTTGCCCACCTTGACCTAAGGCCATTGTCTCTGGCATTCTAGCAGGCTTGGCCCTGGCTGGATTCAACTTGCAGGCCCTCGCACCAGCTCGGAATTCCGATGGTGTTTCATGGGAGGCACCGTTCCCCGCTTCAGTCAGTGAGTATGGAATGATGTTTGGATTGAATTGTTTCTTTTGTTCTCACAGGTTTTTGACAAGAATCGACAAGCAACATCAACTTGTTTGTTTGTCGTTTTTACGAGTCCTTGTTGGCGTGGCGGCGCGGCTATCCGAAGCGTTGGTGCGTTTCACTTCTTACTTATTGTTCCTTGTGATCATTTGATCATGGTTTGTAGACTTGTGTGACGGAGAAAACTTATATAAGACCTTCAATGGATCTAGCTTGCAGGTTGGCGCCTTTTCTCGGTGATGGCTCAAGCCAACCGAACCCCCATCGGTTGCTGCAGATAGCAGTTCCTCGTTTCCCTAAGCCTTTGTGCTTGGATTCGTATGTTTGAAGTTGAAAACGTCAAATTCTAATTCAAAGCAATGGTTGCAACATTTCCGATGTGCTCAGACAACTCATGTTTCATCCTTTTTGGATTCAAACATCTAGCAGGGAGGTTTGCTTTGGGCGACCGACTCAATGCTTGGCGCGGCGGCGTTTTGGGATAAGCGGCATGACAAAGATCTTCGCCGCTGTCTGGCTACTGGCGGCCAGATGCTTTTCGTGCACCTCGAAGCAATTGCTGGTAAGTCAATCGAGGCTTTGGCCCCACGAAAACTTGTGGCAACGGTCTGATGAGCAAAGGGGTCCTCTGAAAACTTCATGTGTTAAGGGATAAGGGTAAACCAGATCCTCTTTTATTGGAGACCCGCCACACGGCAAATCTTTTCTTCGCACAATGCTTCGCTTGTCCGGGGGGGGCAGCGCTTAGGAGCTCAGCAACTACCATACAGGGTACTGTCATCACTGTGAGCACTTGAAGGCAGTTGAGAGAACCTCGCGAACAGCAGTGTGGAATCAGCAGCAAAAGTACCGAAGCAACCGAAAGCCATGGTGGCAAGAGTCCAAGTTCTGGTTCTGAAAGACGTGTACCATGGGCCGTCTCGCCCGGATATCGCATGAAATCCTCCAACCTAACAGGAATGGCCTCCAACCCAATAGCATCTAATAGCGATGGCCTCCAACCAGTCCTCCAACCTTATAGCGATGCCTTCCCAACCCGCATGAAATCCAGTTCTGGAACGCCGAAATCGGCGGCGTCCTTCCAAGGGGAGTTAGGAGACACAGATCGATGTGAGACGTCCTTTCTCCAGACCGAGAGGACAGACTGAGCAGATCCGTCAGACTGCTAGCAGCTTCGAAGACACAGCATGCATCAGAAGCCAAGATATTTGGGTTCTGATGTTGAACACGTCGATACTAAGTTGATGGATTTCGATGTACCGTGGGGGCCTGAGGATAGTGACTATCCGATAAGCCCAGCAGCCCCGTCCTTGTCCCTGAAAGTCACTGTTTGAATTTTAAGCATTACAAAGCCATTTCTCAGTGAAGTTCATTTGGGTGAGCCAACACATTTTGCATCTAGATCAATTGAGTGTTTTGCACACTTGTTTGAGTTGATCTGAATTAAATGGGTTGTCATTTGAACCTGCAGGGGGTGGCTCACAATGTAACTTGCCAGAAGCAATCCATTGCAACCACATCATAACATAATGTGTCCCATTTGTTCTGCATACTCTTTGCCTACATGCAACTCTGTAATGAAGTGAGCCGAGGAAAGACTTATTGGGTGTTTGTTATTTTTGGTACTCTCATGATTTTGTGCAGGAAGCCAGCCTTCTGGATAAAAGTGACATGCCCACGCGCACCCATTGTAGTTAAAACCCAATCAAACAGTCTTTGTCCCCAATCCCTGTGCAGGATTTTGTCTCCACGGCAAGCTCGAGACACTCCTTGGTTGCAGCCAGCATTGGAGCAGCTCAGTGGTGCACGGAGGGTGGGACATTTCCTAGTAAAGAGGATTTGCCAATCAGATCCATCTAGCGGGCCCCGCAGGGACCGACCGGGGCATGTTGTTCTGAGGTTTGAAGTAGGGTGGAGGCCATCGGAGGTCATCGCTACTAGGGTGGAGGCCATCGCATTTGGGTGGAGGCCATCGCTATTAGGGCGGAGGCCATCGCTACTAGGGTGGAGGCCATCGCATTTGGGTGGAGGCCATCGCTATTAGGGCGGAGGCCATCGCTACTAGGGTGGAGGCCATCGCTGTTGTCACTTTGAGCTTCTTGATCCACCTTGATCTGGAGCTTGGGAAGGGGGCATTCCCTTGGAATTGCCTCACCTCATACAACGCTTTCGAGCAAACCCATCCTTCCGAAAACGTGCTCAACAGGGGGAGCAAGTCGCTGTGAGGTTCCATCAGGACCTTTTGTCCGCTTTGTGCCCAAGAAGACCCAAGAAGATCCAAGATCGCCGAAGCTGTCGAAACCACCCACTCAAACCTAGGCATGTGCGCGTTCCCGATTTCTTCCGACATGCAGCTCCCCGTGCCACACACCATCAGCTCTCTCCAAGCAGCGTCCTGGGAATAGGACAGGTCGGACTGGTCGGACTGGTCGGAGATGCGGGGAGCGAACAGCTTGTTGTGCATAGCTTAGGCGAACAACCGCATCCTCTGATTCTCGTTTTGAACAAAAACTCATCCTGGATTGAAACCCACAACATCATTGGAACAGCTGTTGGAAGATGCTATTCACCCTCACGACTGCCCTCACGTCTAGAGTCTATAGAGATGTGTCTGAAACCCAGGACTTGGAGCCATCATTTTTGTGGCAATTATCATATGGGTCTTCTCGCCCTTCCAGGCGGTCACTTTTGTTCAGTTTTTGAGGCTCTGCTGGTCACTGAGGGCGGCCGTGAGCGGGTTCCTTCAACGAAATCACATGAAACAGGACCATGCAACTTTGGATCTAAAGACGGCATTTCGAACAAACTGAAATCAGTTTCAAACACGGCCTCAGAGGAAACACGGACTCAGTCCGCTGAGCGGTGTATTTCTTGTTTTGCTGATCCATTTAACGTGCGAATGCTTTGCGAGAACGTTGCTGTACGTGAGGGTGCTTGTATAAGGAGTGGGTGAAGAGCACAGTTCTGGAGATTGTGCGCTGGTGAGAGTCATGAACAATTTGAAGTGCCCCCCCCACACACCGCAGTTTCTGTGGAGCCTTCCAAAGCCTCTTTGGTCAGGCTTCAGACACTGACACAGATGCCGCAAAGGAGACCAGTGTTGATGCGCCATATCGCTGGCGCCTGTTGCATGGCTTCAAACAATTGGTTGAAGGTCCTCGATGTGCGTTTTGTTTTTGACACTCTACTCTACTAGTAAGTAACTCTAGTGTTTCCATGCGACCTTCCATGTGTCCTTCCATGTGTCCATGTACGTTTTCTTCCTTAGAGTGCTTTCTAAAATCGCTCAAGGAGAACCTTTGCAGTACCCTGTTGGGATCAGCCATTCATAAACATCTTGATCCTGTTGGCTTCAGGGCTGGTGCCCCAACCGAGGTTTACGGCTATAATGTGCATGACTATGTACCTGTTGCCTGGCCCGTGGCTTTCGGACTAGGTTCATCAAAGGTCAGACGGCACCTTTAGACCTTCGAGCACCTTGCTTGTTGTCGAGAGTTCATGGCATCTTTGTTGTGCAGAAAGTGGATCTAGGTGAGAAACACATGGCTGTATAATGCCACACGCGCACAGCCACAAGAAGCCACTCCACATCCAGTGTGGAATGGAATTGTTGCGCGCTGCGAACGAGAGTCAGAACAGGAGCCCCTAGTAGCGTCCTTGCACCAAGGCTGAACTATGCCGACCGATACAACATCTCGGCACCTCGCCGTTGAAACACGGGTTTCGTTCCTGCGCTGTATGGTTTGAACAATGGGAGTGCTGGTAGACAGACCGGTATGCAACAGTTCCGAAAACATCGACAACTAGACTATACACATATATGATTTTTCTCCAAGTCTTCAAGGATTTAAGGTTGGCATGAATGTCCACCAGCTGTTTGAATGTCCACCACCATCTTCAACCAAAGACAAGCCAACGGGTCGACCATCCTGAATCAAAGCAGCATGCCAGGTGCGAATGCCAGGTGTTCGAAAGGAGACTTAGAGAAACACAGCAGGGAGCAGTCCATGGAAGATGGAACACTTTAATCCATTGTTGATTGGTAGCGTTCCGGCCCGAAGAGGTATGTATCGCGCCCATCAAAAGCGTAGCAGGTTGCGTTAATCGCGCGTGTTCTTCGCAAAAAAGACCGTTGCTGCTGATGGCGAGAATCTGTCGTCGCCTGGTTTGCCGTGGCTTTCTGGACGGAGGTGGCGATTATTGAGATCAGCGAAGAGCAGGGCTACGACAAGAGGATGCAGCTCGTCCGATCCGCTGAAGGAGGTACAGGTATGGTATGGTAGGTATGATAGCCTGAACGATTTTTGGATTCCAGAGTTGGAAGCCTTTTTGACACGTCGGAGATGACGCCCCTTTTTGGCAGGGACACTTAGCTGTACTGGGTGAACTGAACATCACTTTGCCGCTGGGCCAAGCAATCAAAGTGTTTGAAGCATCTACCGGAGTTCACTCAAGCACACCAGGTGTAAAGGCTTCTATAAGGCTGGCGGAGAGGCATCGCCCTGTCACTTTGCAAGGCAAGGCTTCATCCAGTCCGTAGTTTACCTTGGCTTTTTGCCCGGCACCGCAGCCTGTCTGCAGAGGAAGCAGTTGTTCTCTCTCGTGCTGCTTTGAGATTCCAATGAGCGTCT